TAGTTTTATTGTAAAATTTGTCAGTTTTCAGTTAGTATTAGTGTATTCTTGTTGTGTCAAGAATTTTTTGAAGTCTTTGTAAAATGGTGCACTATTCTTGTTGTGTCAATAATTTTTTGAAGTCTTTGTAAAATGGTGATACTGTATTTTTCTTAATTTTGTAGTTTCTGGTGGGTGGGGTAGGGGAATTTTTGCCATTGCATAAGCCGGGTTTTCTCATTTGTTGCTTTCTTCTTGGATTTTTTCTAAATTCAAAGATACTATGTACATTCCTTAATTTTTCATCACCAAGATGAACATTTCTTCTCAGTTCTGTAATTGATATATATAACATATAATGTTGAAGGAAACATGAAAGAGATATCTTCATAGACATAGCTCTGTAACCTGTCTTCAAAATGAAGTAGCGCAAAGTCATTGTGAGGTGGCCCTTTGTGGGTACATGTATATTACAGTGAGGAAAAACCTTTGCTTTCCACTGTAGGAAATTGACAGGCTTTCAGATGATGCCATCTCTGTAAATGAAAACTTTGATGAACTGGAACAACACCTTGACACCCACCGGCTGGGTATGAACCTTCAAGAGACAGATGCTCTCATTCAAGAGCATAAAGCAAAAAGGGCTGTCCTTGACAGTGTTGGAAACCCCCTTATACAGAGAGGAGAACATCTGATAAGCTCAATAAAAGCCAATGAACCTCCAGTTCCACCCAGCCAGAATTTCCCAGGAAGTCCTGCATTGGCACCAAGCCAAGAGCTCCAGCAGGTTGAGAGAATCGTCACACAGCTTACACACAGATGCAATCAGCTGACTGATATGTGGGAAAAGAGATGGAAAGAGTTGATACAGTGTATGGATTTGCGTGAGTTTGAAGCTGGCTATAAAAAGGTAAAGCATCTTCATGGTGCTATTGTGATTTTTTTTAAACATTGTCACTTTTTCAGACTTCAGTACTCAGTTTGGATAAGGGTGCATTCAGTTGGGAAATCTGGATCTAGATTTTAAAAACATGATTTTCGTTAAAAACAGAAGAGAGGAAATGCCCCCTTTCCCTCCCTATACCTAGGTTGCACTTCGCACAACAATTTTCTCCATTTTTCCCCACTAAGGAGCCTGCATGATCCCAGGCTAGGGAAATGTAAGAGGGAACTTTGTTCCAGTCAGTGACAGAGACTTCTTAAGGGAGAAATACATACATGTACAATGCCTTTGTGTTTATTATTTTGTAGGTGATTGACTGGGTCTTTGGGTCAGGTGAAGCTTATTTATCAACATCAAGAGACATTGGTGACTCTGTCATTACCTGTGAGATTTTAAGAAAAGAACATGAGGAATTTGAGTTAAATGCCAGGGTAAATTTACCTTTATTTGCATTAATTTTTTAATTTGAGACTTTTGTAGCCCTCATCATGTACAATGTATATGCCTTTCAAAAAGTGGCCAACCCACCCCCATTAGTAGTATGAATTTCGAAGCACTAGCCTGTGTACAGACCCTTCTCCTCTCAGAAAAAATGCCCCTTCTGTGATTTTTTTGAGGGGAGGGGGTGGGTCTGTACACAGGCTGTGAAGTAAATGTAAAGTTCGACCAACTTGTCAGTGCTTAGCTTTATTGATCTTTGGATGCAAAACTGCGATATTTGAAATTTTACATTAAACCCAATGGCCCTTAGAGAATTTTATGAGGTATGCAAACTTAGCATAACAGTCTTCAGCCAGATAGCCACTGATTTCTCACCACAGTCACAGAGGACTCCACCTTATTGAGATGAGTGAAATGCAGTTAAGACCAGCAGGAAAAAGAGCGAGGGCTTTATGGAGAATTGTTAAGTTGTAGCCAAGCAAGTGAGAGTCAACAGAGACTTAATAAGTAACTGCTGATGTCTGCCTTGTTCTTCTTGAAGGGGCGGGGGCAGAGTATTATTTTATTTTCTTTTTGATTCATGCATGTGAACCGGAAGAGGACTTTTTTGTATTTGCTTGGGCAGTGGCTTTCAGTCTTATCGTCTCTATAAGAGAAAAGACACTTAGCAATGCAAATTTGGTAGCGTGAAGGCAACTGAAGGCATATGAACAGGAGAAAGGCGTCACTTCCAGTTGACTTGTTTTGTTCAGAAACACCATTGCTTGAACACCCACTGTGGCTATCTAAATTTAGTCATTTACACATTCAACTGTTCGCCTCACAGGGTTGTTCACTTTGGATTCTAAATGTTATTGACTATGTCTCTCAATTGCAGGAGGTGATTAATCACTTTGCTCAGGTCCGTGAACTGGCAAAAAAGATGCTACAAGAGAATCATTATGCGTCCAAAGATATTAAAACTCAGAAGGAATTCCTGGACAGGGGCTGTCGCAGTTTTGCTATGCGTATGAACAGAAGGAGAGACATCATTCTGACGTCACTGAGGTTTCATAAGAGTGCCGGAGAGGTATGGCATTGTGATTGCTTGTGATGTATTTTTTTTAAAATGGCAGCGGATTCATGCCATTAGATTGGAAAGCACTGTCTTCAGCCAATATCATTGACAACTACTGAAATGGTTCAGGCACTTGAAGTGTATGCTGTTGGGATCTCTGGCGATGAGAGCCTAACGTTTTTGTTACAGACTGGTTCGAAGCCGTTAACGGACTGATCATTGTCCCTTTTGTGACCGTCAAGAAGGATCTCACTCAGTCTTCGAGATTTTTATCACCAGTCGTTAAACGAAACAAAACGAGTCAAGCTCTGCTATTTCTTCGCTAAGAATATCACTTTAGGCAAAAAGGTTTACGGTAAAGTCGCCCGAAAGCCATCTCGCCCGAAATTTTGTTAAAGCGCCCAAAATGCTGAGTTATGTCGCCTGAAATTTTATTATACTCAACAACATCCTAACATCTTCATCGCACTTGTTTCGTTTTATCGAGGCTTAAAGAACGAGATATTCATCCCGCTTGTTTCGTCTCGTCCCCGCGTAAAGAACATGATATATGTATATTACACATCCATCTCACTTGTTCCGTCTCAGTATCGCTTAAAGTGCTAGACATTTTCCATACACTTTACGGGCGACATAACTCAGCATTTCGGGCGACTTAAGAAAAAGTGTCTGGCGACATAACTTTTGTTTCAGGCGAGATGACTTTCGGTCGACTTGACCGGTTACCAGCAAAACACGTGGTTGAATTGCCCCATCAGATCATGATCAGGAATAACTTACACGTACTTGCCTGCGTCACGGTCGAAACTAAAATGTACTTATTACACATGTATGAAAGAAGATCATCGCAGTTATACACGCCACTTTTGCAGTTACGAAAAGAAAGGCTGAAAAAAATTCAGGCTTGTTCGGGATTCGAACTCTTGACCTCTGTGACATCAGTGCAGCGATCTACCAATTGAGCTAACAAGCCAACTGGAAGCAGGTCGTTGAATTGGTTTGTTATAAACCCATGAAAGTTATGAATATATGAAAATCATCTATGAGAACTGCGGGTTGAAGAATTATTTGAAAATTTACTTCCGTCCTTAATTTTATTTCTGTTTCAGTGCTCGGTCCACCTAGATGACTTGTTCGAATTGCTATGTTCTGACTCAGTTCTCTTGTATGACTACGAAACTGCGGAGAGCATGCTCAAAACACTTGAAGAGAAAGCTGAAGGTAAGACTTTGACTTGACTTTGACCATTTCCATGGAAGCACTTAAAGTAAAGTCCTTATTTCCTGTGCGCGCGAAAGTTTCATAAGTTGTGAAATGATAGTGTTGGACCCTGTGGAAAAAGAAATTGGCTTTAATAATTTCAATCATTTTTGCTTAGTTAACAACGGGCTTTTTGTATAGCAACAACTCGCAACAAACTAGTCAACTTGCCGCAAGGGACTCTCGCCTCGTTGTAACGCTCTGTTGCTTTCGGAGTACTTCAAATTGTCTAGTCATTTTATCATTGACAGTTGAAGTGATATCACCGTTCGGAGCCAGCAAGAGTCGTACTGTGCGCGTTCTGATTAGGCAGTTCCTTGGAAATGTGAGTTTTAATTCAAAAATGTCTGTCAATGACTACACAAGTTTGGGTAATTACGGTAACAATTATGGAAGGTTAAGAACTTTGGAAACACTTGCCTCGCACGCGCCATTGTAAAGTTTTCTCCTGACCTCCTCTGTTTTGGGCTTCCGTGGAATTGGCCTTTTAAAACACAATAATAGTATTCCCTAGATTGTAGAATGACGTTGCTTTGACGGACAATCACGCAATTCCCCCTATGACGTTCGCTTCTCCACCTTTCAGAACTTCCACCTCCCGCTCTTTCCTCCCCTGCCTCTCGTACCCCTTCTGTCCCCCCTTTCTCCCGGGCTCGCACCCCCTGTTCCCCCCGAACTTCTTGATAACCTGACACTTAACATTTAATACCAGGACTGCAGCCCAACGTAAGTGAAGCGGTTGCTCTTGGAGGGGATCCTCAATAGTTATTTCCCTAACCCATTGCATCTCATGTTTCTTCTTTAGCTGTAGCTGTGTCATCAGAGGAAACTTTGCGAGATGGTCTGGCCGCTCAAGAACTGATGACTAGTCCGGTTGTTGACATGCGCGGCGATGACGTTACTCCAGACTACAGCAAGGGTATTGCGCATGTCCGGCTTACACTGGACGAACTCAGGGAACGAAAGCTGCGCACAGACGAACTATGTGATGTGCGCAGAATAAAGCTACAACAACTGCTACAGCTTAAACAAAGTGAAAGGGATGCTGAACAGGTAATAGCAGGCGGGGAAGTGATTGCGAAATTGTATAATTTGTGAAGGCTGAGTTAACCACTCTTTTCTCTCTTTGTTCTTTATTACTTATGTCACATTACCAAGTAAATGATAACCGGGTTTTTAGTAGCTCAGTTTCGCGATACACTGCACTAATAGTGGTCTCCCTGGGGTTTTTCGGAAGCATCCATTTTTGCTCGTTTTAGTGGGACCATACGGCCAAAGGTGCAGAAATGATGGTAAGGTATTAATCTCACTGTTTCTTAGGCGACAGCATGGATAAGCCAGCTTCGTGACGCAACAGAACACAACCTGGGAGATGTGGGGCGGAATTCAGAAGATGTAGAAGGACTGCAACAAGAGCATGAAAAACTCGAGGCCACATCCAGGGTAAGATAGGAGGGGTGGGTAAGTAGTAGTAGAGCGGTTATCACTTGAGGGTGTCAAACGCGTGTGCTAAATTTCACACGCCACTTTCTTAATCAATCAAAAGCCGGTTGTAGTTTTTTTTTTGAGGTGCTGCACATTTTGTGACAAGCAAATATTCGATATACAAACCACACATAACCCAGTCAGTGAAACGTTGTTAAGACAAGAACCACTGAAAGGAAATACAAAGATGTTTCCATGCAAACTAGTTTTGCGTTTTTCTTCCTATTATTAGTGGAATTCAGAGGCCTGATCAATACAGTGTTTATCAATATCGATTTTAAGACTCGACTCTTTTTTGGTCATCAGTTTGGAGGCTTGACTCCCCCGTCTCCATCTCTTCAAATCCTTTGCACACAGATATTTCAGGCGTTTTGAAGTTGCTCGTATCGCAGGCTCAGTGTTGTGTCAAATTGCATCTTGGGACTGTTTTTTGGAGGGGGACGCTATTGCTTTTATAGATCTTATTCACGATGTCCGCCATCTTTGCCCGCGCTTTAGGATTGATGGGATAAAAACAATGTCACATGGTTCATTAGCCTGCGCCACAGACGAAATTAAACTCTGGTTAAAGGGGCTGTGTCACGGCAGTCCAGTTCATTTTGTTTAATTTTTCCAATTACTCGCCCTCAATAGCTATGGAACTTAAAGTAAACAAAGAAATTACATGTAAATGACAAAATCAGAGATCCGAGACAAACAAATATGTCTCCTGAGCGTTATTTTTGAAGTTGCAAGCAGCAGGGATCAACTTTGAAAAACTGTTAGGCTGAACAGTTTTCAAAAACACTAATTTCAATCCGTTTCAATCTTCTTCAGTTTTGCCTATACGTGGAAGCTGTTGTTTCTGTTATGTTATTTTAACCTTCCTTTAGCGTTTTAAGCGGTTATTTTTATGTTTCTCGTAATTTAACGGGCCTTTTTTAATTTCCTAATTTGGCTGAATTTCGTGACACAGCTCCTTCAAGTCCGTCTGCGAAACAGCGCTGAAATCCTTGTTCTGGGCCCCCACCTGTGTACCAGGATTTGAGTATGCGCCGTGATTGGCCTGTTTAAAAAGCCATAGTCGATGAAAGGAAATTCGAAACGCCCTTCCGGTAATCTGTTGAGTCCGTTGGCGCGCAGAACAAGGATCTCTGCGCTGCTTCGATTCGCAGACGTTACTTACCGTGGTTAAATTACGTGTACGACGCAGGCGCTAGTGGTTCATGTATTTCGGGGAAAACAAGCGACAAATTAGCCAATACAAGAAATCGTTGTCGAGTTTGTTTATTCTCTCAAGAGTCTTCAAAGAGTACAGTTCGAGTTTCGGCAAGTTCTGTGTTATTTCTTGCTGAGAGGACATCTACGACATCCACGGTCGCCACTGTATCCAAAAAAGTGCCACTATCACTTCCACCCATAACTTGCCATTTCTGTTGTCTAGAATAAACAAACTCGATCGTGATTTCTTGTACTGGCAGACTTAATCACTCGTTGGTCCCCTGAGAAATCACGTGACTACGCTTTTATCCCATCAGCCCTTAAGCGCGTTCAAAGATGGCGAGTATCGTGAATGAGGTCTAGTTGCTATCACGACATTGCGCAGGACATTAAGTCAAAGTTCGTATCTACAAAACAGTCCCAACTCCCACAATGTATACCGACCAAATACCGACCATGCGCAGCTTTCAAATGAATACAAGGCTCCAATCTCTGGATTGTTATAAACGTATTGAAAAATTTTTTGCGCTGTGATTTATTACAGAGCACGTATGATTATGGGCGACAGTTTCTTCAAGCTTCGTTAGTTCTTCGCCGAACATGCCGCTATGAACTTTCACCAAACTACGAAATGGAGGAGAAATTGAACAACGCGTGGAGTGACTTCTCATCTGTCATGGCAGAACGAGGCGCCAGGTTATCTGTGGCGCTTATGTTTCATCGGAGCGCTGAAAAGGTGAGAACGATCATTATCCAACTTCTTCTTGTAATTGTCCTGTCATTTAGATTGGTGGTGAGAAATTTAAAATCTCTTGGGAGATTACCCGTTTATGCATTAACCGGCCCCAACCACACCAATGAAACCTTGTTCCACAAACCACATGTGACGTAACGAGCTTTAAACATTCGAAGATAATTTTGACGTTCAGCTTGCTAGAGGCTAGAGAAACAGTGGTCTTCCAAACAAAGTCTAAACCTGCCCCATTTGATCAAACACGCCAGAGGTACGCTAAAAAACTCGGCTAACTTTCGGCATGATGAATTAAGGAATAAGAAAAGCTAAAGCCAAAGGAAAAGGAAAACCTGAGCTAGCAATGTACCTTCCTTGTCGAAAGATCTCGAAGCTATCTATGTGCATGATCGAACCTCGACAGCCTTGTTTTCGACCAGGAACGAGAACTAGAGTTTTCACATAATCTGACGCTATGCATAATTTTTGGTAAAATTAGTAGCTAAGTCCATTGAGACGTAATTTCTTTTAATTCCAGTTGGTTCAACAAATTGAGGAGCTTAGGGATGCATACCTAAACGAGGAACTTCCAGAAGACCTTACAGCTGCGGCCGTGGAACAAGAAATCAGTCGACACTCTGACACCAGGCATGCGATCGACAAAGAATACGCTGAGACAGTTGCCATGGGAAAAGCGTTGATTGACAGAATGCAATTGCCTCCTCTCTATGGAGAAGACGGGGAGCCCAATCGTCCACCCCACCTCTTAGAAGAATGTCTCATGGACTTGGAAGATAGAAAGATCGCATGGGAGAGGGTGTGGAAAGATCGCGACGAGAGATTACATCACTGGTTGAAGCTCGGGGATTACGAACAAGAAATAAACGAGGTAGAAGCAAGTTGTCGAAATATTAATGCGCAGATATTGTAACAGTCAGACCTGTACTGATCAGACTAAGATTATTCCCTCATTTTCCTTAGAGATAGCAGAGCGAAAATCGCCAGCCGCGAGCAAGGTGTCACGCGTCTCCTCGGGCGTGTCAATTTTCACTTGCGCTTGCGTATTTCGCTCACTCTACGACTATCCTTTACACTACCTTTACACTTTGCACCATCCGAACTTGTGTTTGGACATGAGTTTGGACATGAGTATTTTACTGTGTAGACCGTTGTTGCCAACCAAACACTGTGATGTCGTTTGTTTCTTTCTTTAAGCTGCTCCAGTGGGTAAAGGACAGAACTAACGAAACTGAAGAAAACCGACACCGGATCGGTGAAAATCTGGCCGAGGCGGAAGCACTCTCCGCGGATCTCCAGGAACTGGAAGCGAGGCTAAAGGTTTGTGTTGCCCGCAGTGCATTGTTTGGAGAAGACGGGCGAGTTCATCGTGACCACACTGCTTACATTTAGGTTGATAAGCGTAATAGTTTAGCCAAACAAGCTGTCACGGACGGTAACTAAGGTAATATGAGATGGTAGTTGTCGCAATCGCAGCTGTCATATACCGCGGAATTGCTGGCTAGCAAAAAATGCCAATTGAAAAATGACGAAATTGTCAAGCCAATCTTTTCGACTAGTACCCAGTATATTGGGGTTTGCAATTTTGTTCAGAGCTGCTAACGATAAGTGTATGGTATCAAGGCAAAACCTGCCTAAGGATTGTGGGTATCATTGTGGAACAATTTGGTTCTTTTAAAAGGAAAGGGGTATTCATAGTCCAAGACGCGTATCCCGTCCAATTTTATGCGAGTTCCTTCACCCACACGTCCATATTTTGAGAAACAAGTCAATTCAAAAGGCTGTAAATAACGAAGATAGCAAAGAGTCGCCCTGTAGCGTGACATCGGGTTTTTACTCGAAAAAAGCGAGGAAAAAAGCTGATTTAAGGACCATTACTTACGCTTATGTTCAGTTGTAGTTAATTTTTCATCTCAGGTAATTTTTATTTTTCTTTTGTTTAAACTTCATTAACGTACATTAACTTACCCTCCCAAAAAAGGAAAACAAAAATTACCTGGGATAAAAAATAACTACAACATTTATACTTCCTCAAAACCACCTTTTATCGCACGTGATCAGTCTTTTGCGAAGTACATCAAGGCTCTCAGACAACTATGAAAACTAATTTGAAACTCCCAAAAAAATGTTGTTTAAATGGCTGTGGCTAGAGCCCATTCCTGAATCAACTTATCATAAGGGTTGGGCGAAATGAGAAGCAATTTCCGTGAATAATCTATAAAGCCTTGCTATTTGAGATAAAGTGCGTCATTTTTATGGCGTTTTCTCTCCGATTTTGTCGAATCCCTTTCTATGTCTTTGATGAGTGCTGTTCGGTTTACCTCAGTGGCACACATTGAAGTAAACATGACGTTGTACTATTGTAGCAGTCAACTCGATCTTGAGAAGAAAGGAGACAGCCAAAAGTTCGCATAGAGTTTCTCCCTGGCGGGGACTCCCATAGGATGCTTGTCGCCTTGCCCAGGGGTGTAAAGTTGTATCTCCGTCTCTTTCATATAAGAGTTTCCTCGGCAATTTGACCTGCATTAAACTTAGGAGCGAATAATAAAGAGGTATTTGCGCTGCTGAAATGTATAAAAAAAACGCCAGGGACGTGTGATACTCAAACAGTTAGGTACCTTAAGCAACGACGACGGCGACGTCAAGGAGAGCGGCAAAAAGCACTAGGTTTAGATTAGCAAAACAACAACTTTGCACGTGCATCACGCTTTTTTGTACATTTCTTTGCCGTCGTTGCATGACTTCGACGTGAAACTTCCTAATTTCACGTTTTATGTAGAACGTGACCACAAGACAACGATTTTCTTTTTTTCTTTTGTGAACTCAGATACCGGCCCAGGCTCAGATACAGCCCTTTAGAATTCAACTCCTGATTAAGAGCAGTGAAGTTTGAAACAGCGGGAATTCACTTTTTGGGTGACGTTTACTCTGCCGTTGCCGTCGTCGTTGCTTTAATAGGCTCCCTATCAATTAGAGACTAGGGCGCGATCCAGTCAACCAAAATTTCCGGAAATTTCGGTCCAAAACTCAATGGATCGGTTCGGTCCAACCGGAAAAGTTTCGAAAAAAATGGTCCACCTTTTGAGGTGGTCCTCTTTTCCCGGTCGGACCAGTTGGAATTTTGGTCGAATGGATCGCGCCCAAAATTTCCGGAAATTTCGGTCCAAAACTCAATGGATCGGTTCGGTCCAAACGGAAAAGTTTCGAAAAAAATGGTCCACCTTTTGAGGTGGTCCTCTTTTCCCGGTCGGACCAGTTGGAATTTTGGTCGAATGGATCGCGCCCTTGTAAGATTCCACGGGTGCGACGACAACGAGAACGTCAGAAAAGCAATTGGTTGAATAGGCAAACGACAACTCTGCACGTGCATCACGCTCTTTTGTACATTTCTTTACCGCACTGCGCGACTACGACGGGAAAATGGCTAATTTCACGTTTCATAGAGGACGTAAACAACCGACGGCTTGATTTTCTTTCTCTTTCTGAACTTGAATGTGGTTCTTAGGAGTTCGGCTCAAAAAGAGTTCGCTTGCATTTGACAAAGTAAACGAATTCGAGTAATCACGATAGAGATTGAAAGAGCGCAAATCACTTTTTAAGCGACGTTTTCGTGGCCGTCGCCGTCGTGGTGTCTTCCCTAATGTCCTGGTGATCGGGACGATATATGGAAACTCTACCCGGACGATCGCAAACGACCCGGACGACCGAGACGACTCCCGGAGACGACCTTGATCGCCTGGATAGAACTGAGTTCTATCCGAACAATTGGGACGATGATCGTGTAAAATTTGAAGAGATCATATGAAAACGCAAACTCAAAAATGATTTATCCAGTTGACAAGAATTTCGTATCTATCGCGGAACAGATCGACTGAAGTGTTGGAGTCTTGAAAACGTTTCTTTCGCAGTTATTGATTGACGGACTCTCCAAGCTTTTGCACGATATAAAATCAAAGTACAGTCCGCTCGTACTAGTTGTGGAGAGAATCGACGGTTTTTCAAAATTTCATTTTCTAGATATTAATAATAGGTTTGGTCACGGTTTATTTTCTTCATGTTATGGTCCCTTGGAAGAAAGAACACGCCAGAAATAGCAAAAATCTTTGTGGTGAAGTATTTCACGAAAATAGCTTTATCTTTTTCAGTGTTATGACAGCTCGTGTCACGCTATATTTTTTATCAACACGTAAGATTTTTAGCAGTTATAGAAAAGTGTCATTTAAGTCACCTATGTAAATAGTTCGTATGACAGTGTTGTCATGTTTTAAAGTTGGATCAAGCAATATCCACTTGAAATTTCTTCCTAAGAACTAAACAACCCTTTACACTCGCTCTCTCAAGTCAGACGTGTAACTTGATTCCCTCTTCGTCGTCCTCAAATTTCGCGGTAACGCGGGATTTGAGTGTAAACATTCGCAAAAAGAATGAGAAGTATTTGTTCACTGGGGTGTGGAGACGTCTTTGGAATTTTGTCTGGTGTCAAATGTGTTGGTACACTCGGCATTGTAAGTTTGCATAAATAATCAGCCTTTAACTGTCGAGCTGTAATTTGGCTGACCTGCTCATTCATCCCTTTTTGATATTTCTGGTTTTGGGCTGGATTTCGATTGAGGACAATTCTGAGAAAGGTAGGTACGATCGATCGATGCATTTTTGTGTTCTGTGCAAGTCATTTCGTTTATCTATCGGCATGCAAAATTTACATGCTTTTAATGGTAAGCCATTTCAGTGTCATGATTACTTCAGCGAAGCTAACCAGCGTAAATTTGCTACATTTCTGTGCATTCGACGAAGCGTTTGATCGGAGTAATTAAGCTGTCGCTTTAGTTCTTATTTCCAACGCCCGATTTGGAGGAGTTTTCATCCATGATTGCTATCAGTGTTTTATTTTTATGCCTGAGAATTCTTGCCAGCATAAGGACAACCGATCATTGTGTTGATGAATAAATACTATTGATCAAATTTGTATACAACTCCTTAATAAAATACTC